CCCTATAGCAAAAATCTCTCAAAAAAAAGAAAAAAAAAGTTAAAAGTTTACATAACGACAAAAACACAAATTCCCTGAAGGGGTATCCACATGGTAATATTAACTCATAAAATCAAAGGATGAGGCAAAATTTTAACTGATTTGATTCATGAATTACAATGCAATATTTTAATGTTTTCTCAGTAATGAAAGAGACAATAATATTTGTTCATGTATGAATTGCTCAAAAAGTTAATGGAATATGAACAGAAATCTTGAAGAAAACAGACTGGTTTTAATCACATTCAACTAAACATAATTGAAAACCAGTGGGGCACTAAATTGAGCTAAAATAGGATATAGGTCTGTTCCAATCTCCCAATAAGAGGAGGGTCGCTATTCTTTTTATTCCCTAAAGAATTATTTTATTTAACTTTATTATTATCATTTTCCATTTTGATCAGAGAGAGACAGAGAGAGAGAGAGAAAGTGAGAAATCAAGCCACCAGGTCCAAGACTTGAACCGTGGTTGACCATGTGAGAGTCCAGCACCTTTAACGACCATGCCACTTGCTGGCCCCTGGAGGGTCGCTATTCTCACATAATAACGCTTACAGAGACTAGCCTCTATATATTGCAGCAGAGAAAGAATCACCTATCTAGTGATTTTTGGTTTTGTTTTCTTCTCATGAAAAAGAGACTTATTTTTTTTGGAGAGGTTTTTGCTATAGGGCACGTGTGCTCGCCAGACAGAGAGAGACAGAGAGACAGAAAGCGAGAAATCACCCCCCCAGAGGGATGGCCACTCTGCAATCCCTTCTCCATTCTCCTCTTGGGATCTTGGGCATGCACGCACACGCGCCCAGCGTGAGGTTTAAGCCACCAGGTCTGGGACATGAACCGCGGTCGACTACATGGGCGTCCAGCGACATAGCCATTACGCTAACTGCTGATCCCATTTTCTGGTATATTCTAAGCAAATCATTTAGCATTGAACTGTTCACATTACTTCATGTGCAGGACGTATGTGAGTTTTCAGTGGTTTTTTTTGAGAAATTTTTGCTTTAGGACACGAGCGCTCCCCAGACAGAGTGAGAGGGAAAGTGAGACATCACTCAGTGGGGGGATGGTCATCCCACAGTACCTTCTCCTTCATTCTCCTCTCAGGACTTCGGGCACACATACACACACACACCAGCTAGGTGTGATTTTCAAGCCACTGGGTCTGTGACTCAAACCACAGTTGGCCATGCGGGAGTCAAGTGGCATAAATGCTATACCCCCTGCTGCCTTGAGTTTTCACATGTTTTTTTTTTTTAGAATTATTTTTTATTTAACTTTATTTGTTTGTTTACTTCAGTTTGACCAGAGAGGGACAGTGAGAGAGGGAGCGAGAGCGAGCAAGCCACCAGATCCGGGACTTGAACCAGGGTCAGCCATGTGGGAATCCAACATCTTTAACCACCATGCCACCTACTGGCCCCTTGGGCTTTCACATAATTTTTAATAAATGTTTTGGGACCAGCAGATAGTGTAATGGCTACATCGCTTGACTCCCATGTGGTTCAAGTCCCACACCCAGTGGCTTAAACTCACACCAGGCACATATGCATCTATGCCCAAGATGCGGAGAGGAGAATGGAGGAGAAGGAACTACAGTGTTGCCATCACCCCTGGGGGGTGATTGCTTGCTTTCTGTCTCTGTCTTCCTGGCAAGGGCACGCGCCCTATAGGGAAACCCTCTACAAACATAAATAAACAAATGTTTTACAACTGAAAACTTTCCTCCAGTTTTCACATATACATTATGATTCTGTGTATTCAATCTGTGGACCAAAAGAAGAGTATATCCCTCATACCAAGAAAGTTTCTCTCCACATTTTTTCTCTATTTTTTGGATTTTTGCTATAGGGTGCATGCCCTTGCCAGAAAAAGACAGACAGATAGAAAGCGAGAAATCACTACAGCTACGCTGTAATCCCTTCTCCTCCATTCTTCTCTTCGAATTTTGGGACCAAATGCACATGAGCAGGCATTGAGTTTTAAGCCACTGTGTTCAGGACTCAAACCACAGTCAACTATATTGGAGTCCAGCAACGTAGCCATTACACCATCTCGCCATGTTTTATTTCATGGTTCTGAAACAAAAACACTAAAGATTTTTTCACATTCTTTATATCAACTAAGTTTTTTTTTTTTTAGAAGTTTTTGCTATAGGGTGCGTGCGCTCGCCAGAGACAGAGACAGAGAGACAGAAAGTGAGAAATCACCCTCCGGGGGGATGGCCACACTGCAATCCCTTCTCCTCCATTCTCCTCTCAGGATCTTGGGCACGCACGCACATGCGTCCGGCGTGAGTTTTAAGCCACCGGGTCTGGGACGCAAACCGTGGTCGACTACATGGGAGTCCAGCAACACAGCCATTATGCTAACTGCTGGTCCCCCTCCCCCCCTTTTTTTCTTTAAGAGAGATTTTTGCTATAGGGCGCCTGTGCTTGCTAGAGAGAGAGAAAGTGAGAAAGCACCCACCAAAGAGGATGGCCACATCACAAAGCTTTCTCTTCCCTTCTCCTCTTGGGATTTTAGGCATGCACGCACACACGCCATAGCGTGAGTTTCAAGGTGCCAGGTCTGGGACTTAAACTGCAGTCTACTGTGTGGGAGTCCAGTGACATAACCCTTATGCCATCTTGTGGTCCTTATCAACTTATCAAGTAAATTTTTTCACATGTGTTTTTCCCATATGGCATAGGTTGTGTGATAATGAACACGTTCTCACATTCTTTCTTTTTTTATTTAGGGTTTGTTTCTAGTATGTGTCCTTTCATGCTTTTGAAGGGAACTGGCACAATAGAAAGCTTTCCCACAGCGCTTACATACACACGATTTTTCTCCAGTATGAATCTTTTCATGCATCCGAAAATGATGGGGGAAACTAAAGGCTTTTCCACATTCTTTGCACACATAAGGTTTCTCCCTTGTGTGGGTTCTTTCATGTATTTGTAACAGACGGGAAGAACGAAAGGTTTTCCAACACTGTTTACATTCAGCCGGTTTCTCTGTAGCATGCATACGTTCATGTTTTCGAAGGGAACTGGAAGAAAGAAACGCTTTTGCACATTGCTTACATTCATAGGTTTTCTCTCCAGCGTGAGTGTGCTTGTGTTTTTTAAAGGAACCGGGAGAAAGAAAGCATTCTCCACACTGCTGACATTCATAGCGTTTCTCTTCAGTGTGAGTCCTTTCATGTTTCCGACAGTAACGTGAACAACTGTAGGCTTTCCCGCAGTGCTTACATTCATAGGGTTTCTCTCCGGTGTGAGTTCTTTCATGCTCGTGAAAGGAACTGGGCCAACTGAATGCTTTCCCACATACCTTACACTTATAAGGCCCATCTCCAGTGTGTGTGATCATGTGTCTCTGAAGACGTGGGAGACAAAAAAATGGTTTCCCACACTGCTTACATTCAAGGGGTCTCTCTCCACTGTGAACCTTTTGATGAATTCTAAAGTAACTGGAATGAGAGAAGCTTTTACCGCACTGCTTACACTGATAGGGTTTCTCTCCAGTGTGGGTTCTTTGATGTACTTGACAGTGAAAGGCCCGACTGAAAGTCTTTCCACACGTCTTACATTCATAGGGTTTTTCTCCACTGTGGGTTATCACGTGTTTTCGATAGTTACTGGGACAACTGAAGGCCTTATCACACTGCGTACATTGGTAGGGTTTCTCTCCTGTGTGTGTTCTTACATGAATTTGTAAATAACTGAAGAAACTGAAGGCTTTCCCACACTGCCCACACGTGTGGGGTTTCTCTGCCGCGTGAGTTTTTTCATGTAACTGCAGGGAACTGAGACAGTGGAAGGTCTTTTCGCATAGCTTACATTTCTGAGGTCCAGCTCCCCTTTGTGATCTCATGTGTCTTCCCTCACGTACGAGAGAAATGAAGGGTTTCCCGCGTTGCTTACGTTTGGACGGCTTCTCTGCATAATCCTGACACTCAGGTGGTTCCTCTCCGTGAGCTCTGATGTGTCTGCTGTGGGAGGAAGGAACGGCACAGCCATCCCTATATGCTCTTCTTTCGCATGGTCTGAATCCAGTATCTGTTTTCTCATTTAGGTTAGTGCTTGCGATCTGATGGATGATGGCTTCTTCATATTGACTACCTTCTTGTAGTTCATATAGTCTCTGTACTATCCCACTTCTGTAAAGAACAATAAGCACATTACTATGGATTTCTGGAGTAGGACTTGTCTATTAAATGACAAGTATTAGGGCTAGCAGGTGGCATGGAGGTTAAGGCAGCTGTGGTTTGAGTTTCAGACCTGGTGGCTTGCTTTCTCACTCTCTCTCTCTCTCCGACACTCCATCTGATCAAATTAAGACATACATAATAATAACAAATCAAATAAATCTTAAAAAAAATTATAAGTACTAATGATCTATTACGCTTATCAGGCAACATGTAGGGCTTATACATTGAGTTATATGAAAAACATGGATTTTATTAGGTGGTTGGAAAAGTCAGATTTTTTTCTTTCTTTCTTTTTTTTTAATTAAAAATACTTCCTGACTATTAAACTTTTTTTCATCATTTTATTTAACTTTATTGATTTATTTTAATTTGATCAAAGAGGAACAAAGCGAGAGAGATTAAGTGAGAAAATAAGTTGCTAGGTCTGGGACTTGAACCACAGTCAGCCATGTGGGAGTCCTGTGTCCTTCACCACCATGCCATCATCCAGGTCCTATGTTTGTTTGGTTTTTTTTTAAGAATTATTTTAATTTTATTTATTCATTTATTTTATCACAGAAACAGAGAGAGAGAGAGAAAGCAAGCTACAAGGTTTGGGATTTGAACCGTAATTAGCCATGTGGGAGTGTCCAGTGCCTTAACTACCATGTCACCTGCTCTTTCTCCTCTTCTTTCATTTGTAAATTTCTTGGGATCTTGGGCACCCATGCACACGCGCCCAACGTGAGTTTAAGCCACCGAGTCCGGGACTCAAACCACAGTCCACTACATGGGAGTCCAGTGACGTAGTCATTACGCCATCTGCTGGTCCCATAGCCTGGAACATTTACATGACATACAAACATGTATTTTTAGAGAAAATGTTCTAGGAATAATCCCGAACGTGGGTTTATTCCCTTTGCCTATCTTAAAATTTCATGACAGCTTTTCCAAAGGATGTTGCCTTTTTTTGTGAGTGCAAATTACCTTAGATTTTTTCTGGTATTTTGACACTGATCTTCAATATTCTTGTTTTCCCAGCATCTCCCTAAAATGTAAATGTAAACATATCTATGAATGATTACAAACACATGAAAAATCTTCAGATTCCATGGTCAAGGGACACGGTAATCATGCCTGATTGAATTCACCGAAGTACTAAAATTCCATGTTCCTTGTTCTCTCTTTCTCTCTTTTTTCCTTTAGAGATTTTTCCCATAGGGTGCATGTGCTCACCAGAGAGACAGAGACAGACAGAGACAGTAAGAGGGTAAGTGAGAAATCACCCCCCAGGGATTGGAATGGCTATGCCACAATCCCTTCTCCTCCATTCTCCTCCTGGGAGCTTAGGTATGTGTGCACATGTGCCTGGAGTGATTTGGAAGCCACTGGGTTCAGGACTTGAACTGCAGTTGGCCATGTGGCAGTCCAGCAACATAACCACTATACCATCTGCTGGCCCCACAAATACTTGTTCTGTCATTGAGTAAGTGAAGGAATGTTGTTTTGCTTACCTGCAGTGTTCAGGTTCTTGATAGTTTCCCACATCACATCCTTGTAGAGTTTTCTCTGTGCAGGATCCAGCAAAGCCCACTCCTCCTTAGTGAAGTTCACAGCCACATCCTCGAAGGCCACTGGGTCCTGCAACATCCCACATGTATGTGGAGGAGGAAGGCTGAGACTGACAGCACTGGGAAGATTTACTCAATTCATGACGCTTAGAGGATGCGAAGGTCTCCAAACATTCATTTTGTAATTTGGTCATCAGAATTCTCCATCTCGGGGCCAGCAGGTGGCGTGGGGGCTAAGGGCTCTGGACTCCCACATGGCTGACGGTAGTTGGAGTCCCAGACCTGGCAGCTCAATTTCTCACTTTCCCTCTCTGTCTCCCTCTCTCACTGTTCTTCCTGACCATGTTAAAAATAAATAAATAAATAAAGTTCAGTAACTTAAAAAAAAAAAATTCTCCATCTCTGGGGGCCAGCAGTTGGCATGGTGATTAAAGGTGCTTAACTCCCACATGGCCAACTGTGGTTCAAGGCTGGAACCTGGTGACTTACTTTCTCACTTTCCCTCACTCTTTCTCTGTCTCCCTCTGACCAAACTAGAAAATAGTAAAGTCATTCTCTAAAAAAAAAAAAAAAAAAAAGAAAAAAGAATTCTCCATCTCTATCTCCAGTCATTTCCTCCCAAATAGCAATTACAATGATAAGTCTGGTAAGTTCATTTTAAAAAAAGCTGATCAAGTAAGTGTTCATTCAAAATAATATCGTGTACCGAAGACCCCTGTCCAGCCTGAGGTGTAGGAGAGGAAGGGCTGCCTCAGGCTCAAGACCACCACTGCAGTTCACCACCAAAGCCACTGCCTAGCCTACAGTCTGGTAGGAGGGGCTGCCTCTGCACTCACCAGAGATAGAAAGAGACAGAAGGAAAGTGAGAAAGCAAGCCACTACATCTGGGACTCGAACCATGGTCAGGCATGTGAGAGTCCAAAGTCTTAACCACCACACCATCTGCTGGGAGCAGGTATGTGCCCCAAAGCCTTACCAGCCTTCCTGAACTACAAAGGTTTTTTGTTTTGTTTTTTTTTGAGATTTTTGCTATAGGGTGGTGCGCTCACCAGAAAGTCAGAGAGAGCGAAAGAGAGAGAGACAGACAGACAGACAGAAAGCGAGAAATCACTCCCCAGGAGGGCTGGTCTCCTGAAGTTGTTTTTGTATCATGGGTGATCAAACTAGTTCCATTAAAACCCCCTTAGAATGGGGCCAGCAGAGGGACCAGCAGTTGGTGTAATGGCTATGTCGCTGGACTCCCATGTAGTTGACCGTGGTTTGAGTTCCGGACCTGGTGCCTTAAACACACGCCAGGTGCATGTGCGTGTGTGCCCAAGATCCAGAGAAGAGAATGGAGAAGAAGGGATTGCAATGTGTCCATCCTCCCTGGGGCGTGATTTCTCACTTTCTGTCTCTGTCTTTCTGGTGAACGCACATGCCTTATAGCAAAAATCTCCAAAAAAAAATTATTTATTTAATTCTACTTGTTGTTATTATTTTTTAATTTGACAAGACAGAGACCGAGAGAAGGGAAAGTGAGAAAGGAAGATGCCAGGCCCAGGACTTGAACTGTGGTTGGCCATGTGGGAATACAGCACCTTTAACCACCCCACCACCTGCCTGCCCCAAAAGTCTATGGATTTTCAATCAGCCCCAGAAGAATCAAACCTTCCTCCCTCCATAACTCAACTAGATGACACCCTGGGAGGGAAAATGAAGAGCAGGGAGAAGCTGAAGGTGGTCCTTCCGCCCCTTTCTCACCACCATATACCCGAGGCAGATCCCAGGAGATGGGGAATGTTGGGGAGGTGGACTCCACCACCTGGGGGGGAGGGGCACTCCTGCCCCTAAGGGAGGCAGCCCCACACAA